TTGAAATGTTCTTCCTCAATTTTTATGATAATGTGTGTTAGATAGATGGCTGAGCTAATCATTCCAATTATATTACAATTGAAATGATCAAATATGCTTGGTTATGTCTAGAGCTATAAATATAGGACTAACCATAATAGGAAGTCCTTTAAGTCTAATTTTTGCAGTTACTCTCCAGTTTTGAGTATTCTCTCCCAAACAATAAATTCTCGAAAAACATCATAGTGGACATAGCTCTTCTATTAAAGATGAAACATTCCAAATTTTTTATATTATATACTATTTACATTTAATTCAAGTATATAATTTATTGTTCATTTGTAAGAGAAATATTTATTAGACGAATTTTCAGCGTCAACAACCTCTATTTGATTTTTTAAAACTCCTTTTACATTATACGATGCCAATATACCTTTTTTTTTTAATTCTTAAATCGAAAACTCTTTGTACATTATACGGTGCCAATATACATTTTTTTTATTCTTATTAAAGAACATCCCTTTGACGTCAACTATGATATTCATTTTTATTTCAAGCGTTCGTTCTCAAGTAATGGTCAATCCTTTGTTTTTCCTTTGCTTAACTGAATTAAAGTCAAACTATTGATTTTTTTTTCTTTTTTTTTTTTTAGGAAAAGTCCGAAGACTTGATTAAATTGAAAGCAAGCTATTCATTAATTTTATCTTTGCACTTCGTATGTCAATTTCTTCCAAATTTGAGAGAACTTGTTAACAGACTTTTATATGATGTATTTATTGGACTTCATATAAAAATGACACATACCTTATAAGATACAAAGATCGGCTTCTTTTTTATTCTTGCCAATTTAAAATTAAGGGTCTTTTTTTTTTTTTTTTAAAAAGGGAGACTTTTGGAATTTTTTTTTAATGGGAAATTTACAATTCTTTTCTTAATGGGGACTATTGCAATTTGAAAAACAATGTGAAGAGAAAATAAAAAATAGAATTAGGCCCATTCATTTCACTTATTCAAGTTTAGAATTCGAGTTTTGTAACAGTAAAAAGTTTTAGTACTAAAGACTTTAACTCTTAGAAGTCTTTAGCACAAAAGACTTTTACTCTTAAAAGAAATTTGTGCTCTCTCAACAGCATGTACACATTATTTCCCTCCGAAGCAACTACATCAGGTGGTTTTCTATTTTGCAAAACAAATTGGTCGAAAATGAGTATATTTGGTTGCAAAAATCTGAAATTTGTGTTGACATGAGACCTTCCCCAGGTTTGAAAAACATGGTGTGTTTGAACAATTTTGGTGCTCCATGGACATTTCCATTTCTGGGACTCTAATCGCATGTCAAACCACCTCCAGAGTACCGCCTTCCATTTTTGGCCAAATAATTGTCATATCGGTTTATGACAATTTCTGCACTCAAGGAGCATGGAAAGTTCCTTTAGTCACAGAAGGGTCTCTTGAAACACGAATAAACGCCTCCATAGAAGTGTCTGTAGTGACACCTTCGTGGAGGCATCTGCAATGACTCCTCCATAGTCTCGCACGAGATCAAGCCCTCAATCTACTCTAAAGTGGTGAGATTCCTGCTCTGCTACTGGTGGAGAAGACTTTAAGACTTAAATTCCAGACTTTTATGTCTTCAAAGGCTAAGAAAAGGAATCTTATGACTTTAAAAGGCAAAATGAAAGATTTTTTGGGTTGAATTCTTCATCACCAATTTATTCCTTAACCTAATTATTTCAAAATCCCAAGCAGGACTTAAAATCGGACTAGACTAAGCAATAAATGAGCTTGTTCGATTACTCATGGTCCACCAAACCATGATCCATGCGAGTTCTCTGAGTGTGCCTTAGGTATACAGAGCGAGTTCAATCACGTCACAGGACATGATTATTAGGCTTGAACTCTTAGACGGACCTTGTACAAAAACGAGCATCAATAATGAGTAAGTTGCCAAACTTCAACAAAAGCAAGGGGAATTTGTACTAAAAATCTTATTTGAACCGTTAGATCTGAATAGATTACTCAAATTACAATTATAACACTAAAACCAAAAAAAAATCTTAATTATAAAATATTTAATAAAAATTAATGAAAATATAATGGTTAAAAATTGCATTATACTGATAAGGTATTTTTTCACGACTAAAATTTCTCCTTACTTTTCTTTTCAAAAAAGAGTAAAGTGTGGATGTCATTTTGTGGGGGTCTAATGTAGATAAGCAAACACTAAGGCTGCCATGCACATCCTTACTTTTATAAGTGGGTATGGTAGCTTTGCATTTGCATCTGGCAAGAACGAAAGGTAAAAGTTTTTATTCAACAAAATCACTCCCTTCCTATTTACAACAAATACTATCTGAAGAGAAAATTGAACCCCCTGGTTAAAATTACACAACTGAAACACAATAAAAAAATATTTTATTTATGGAGCGTTTCTATGATGACGCCCCACCAACATGATGACTAATAACAAATTTGACATGTCCATTTCATTCAACTTCAGAACAAACTAGAGATTATGTTTCAGCTCGTGTTATTTGACAAATAAAATAAAAGAAGAAAAATTCTAATTTGATTGTGTCAATGTGACTGTTTTTTTAGAGAAAATACTGTAACGAGCAACGAATCAAAATTCGAACCATGACACGAATTTTTAAACCAAACGCACTCTAATTACTTTCCATATTTTCCATTTTTTTAATACTTCAAATGTATTTATTGAATAATTGAAGTGATAAGATTAGAGACGAAGTTATTAATGGGAAATTTCTATCTTCTGAAACTTAATTGTGATATGACTTATTGAAAATGTTGGTATTTTAACTGTGATTATCGGAAATACAAATTTTTTCCTTTTAGACGCTTAGGTGAAAAAGCTATTTCCACTCCTTTTATTGGGAGGCTTTGGCGATCGGTTGGTGGAGGACTTTACTATCCTAAAGGGATGGGATAAGATTATTTGTGAAAGAAATTGTTTGTCGATGATTAATGCTTTCAATGGCTTGATTTTGCCCTTCGAGATGTGATTCTAGTTGTTTAAGATTCCCTTTCAGTTGTTGATTGTTTTTCATCTTTCAAGTTCTCTCGCATTCTATGAGGTCTTGTTCACTTCGCTGATTCGAGTTTAGAATTCGAATTGAGATGTGACTTTATGTGAGAGTTTTTTACTGTAGTAAAAAAGTTAGATGTGATTATTTGTGAGAGCTTTTTACTGTAGAAAAACTCAAATTCTAAACTCAAATCAGCGAAGTGAACGAGGCCTGAGATAATGACATCGTTCATTTCACCGATTAGTTTTCAGTTTTAAATTTTTACAGTTAAAAATTCTTAAAAAATGTCACATTTAACTTTTTATACTATAGTTAAAAACTTTCAGAAAATATCACATCTCAGCTCGAATTAAAAACTCGAATCCGCGAAGCGAACGAGAGGTAATACCACTTGGATAAATGAGTCAAAATCCTTTATTTATTTATTTATTTATTTTAGTCTTTGCCTTAATGTAGGCTTTTGTTCTTCCCTTGGTCCTTTATTTCTTCGATTGTGTGAACAAGGAACTTAATAAAAAAATCCAACAATCATAAACCACAAGTTATTTATATTAATCCATGTTTTGGAAAAAAGAACAAGGAGCAGGATTCGTTGCTTCTTTTTCACTGCCAAATACATTGTTTATTATTTTCTTTCACATAGTATTTTTATAAGGAAACTTTCACATGATTTGTATTATATTTCTTTCCTACCCCTAAAAAAATATTTTTAAACGTGAAAAATTTAATACTCGGTCGGTCGGACCGCAGTCCACGGTAAAAATCCGACAGTTGACCCTAAAGCTCCACGCTCTGAGCCGTTCGATCCTCATGTTATCAAATATTCGTTGATCGGACGGCGATTCGGTCCGATCCAACGGTTGGAAACCTCGAACTTACCGACATAAGCATAATTCCACGTGGCCCAATAAAAAATCTACGCCTGATTACCCTTTTTGCACGTGACTCCTTCGCGGGTTAACGAACGGAAAGCGAGGGTAAAACGGTAATTCCACTAAACTCCCTTCATTGCAGTGAGTTCAGAAACTTCAACGACGTTGACGCCGCACCAGATTTGCAGGACCCCTTTCGGTCCATTTCCACGTAGAGTTAGAGAGAGAAAGTTGAGAGAGAGAGAGAGAGAGAGAGAGAGAGAGAGAGAGACGGAGTAGAGTTGGAGAGAGGAAGTAGAGAGAGAAAAGAGAGAGAGAGAGAGCAACGGTTGGGCCTTTGAGATCGTGGTCTGTGAACCGTCGCCGGTTTTTACTGTTGCATCAAAGCTCTGTTCTTTCACGGTTTCGTTTCGGTTTTTATTTCTTTCTTTCTTTCTTCTTCTTCACACTGCTTTTTCTTTTTTCTTTTTTGTCCCTTTTTCTCTCCACATTTTCTCTTTTTCCTTCAAAATCGCTTTATTCGACGCGTAAAGCGCGTCTTCCTCAGCAATTCCGCTTCAAATTTGGAGCTTTGAAGCTACGTGAGGGAGAATTTTCGCAGTTCAAGCTTCTGAACGAAGTAAAAGCTCCTTAACTCTAGTAACATTTCGGAAAAAAACCAGGTCTCATTTGGCTTGCTCCGAATGTTTGGGAGGTAGAGTTTTGAGGCGGTAAGTAAATTGGAAATTTGGTGCATTGTAAGAATTTGTGAGAATCAGAGAGATTTATTTTGCTTTGGTCCGTGATAACGGCGGATTTTCTGTGAATATCTAGGTTTTCAACCGATTAACCGTTGAGAAATCGGTTTCTATTTTTTTTTTTTTTTAAGTATCAACGTTCAAATGCGGGAGAATCGCGGTTGAATTGATTACCAGAAACGGAAAATAAATCTATAAATTTTCGGTTTCTTCATTGCAGAGGGAGCTGACGAAGACGAAAGCTTAGCAGTGAAAGTTGAAACGACGTTTTTGGAGAATTCGTCGGCAGCTTCTGACGGTAGATTCAGAGTTTTGAGCACCATTTTAACGGTTTCGTGAAAGTGATAGGCGATTTGGGGGTAAGATTTGTGTGAGGTTTATATTTGTGTGTGAAATTTCTGAGCTAGTTAAACGCAGATAGATAATGTATGTGTGTTTGTGTTTGTGTGTGTGCGTGAGAGAGAGAGAAAGCAAGAGAGAGAAGAGAGAAGAGGGGCCAAGAAGAAAGCGATGGTCGGGTAGGTTTGGGACTCGGGACCATTTCTATGGGGCAAAAGAAGCACAAAATTGCATTTGTCATTGAGAATATGACGTTCTGTTACTTCGTAATCAAGCATAGTGGGTAGCCTAAGGAAAGTTTTCTCTTCTGACAGAGAACATCTCCATTGGTAATAGTTGAAGCAAAACGGGTTTTTTTTTGGGTTAATTTCCAATTTTATATTATGAAGCTTGGATTCGAAGAATAAGCAAGGTGCGCGAGTGTTAAATCCTAACAAACCTGTATTTATTGTGTTTTTTATTTTTTTGGGGTTTAATCTTTTTTTTTTTAGGTGGTGGTTGGATAATACCCATGATTACCTTGTGGCTGCAGATACAAAAGTGATTGAGCTTTTGTATGAATAGCTAATTTTTGTAAATATTTTTTGGGAAAAGGAGGGGAGAGTTGTTGGATTAAATTCATAGTTACTTTGTTGTTGCTGATTGGACTTGTAATTTCTTTCTTTCTTTCTTTCTTTTTTTTTTTTTTTTTTCTGGTGTGGTTGCCTAATTCCCATGATTAGCTTTATAGTTACAGAATGATCTGGCTGTGAAGGTATTGATTCGTTTTGGCAAGTTCAACAACCTTTCCTAACGTTTAAACCGATTTACACTTTAGACAGCAAGAGTGAGAGTGAGTATTTGTTAGCTTGTCTTTTCTTTTCCCCTTTTGTGAAATTTTAGTCCGTATGTTGATTAAATTGGTTGTAGGGTTAGAAACATTTAGTGAGAGCTAGATAATGGGGGCGATTGGCAGAGAAGAGCTTGTGAAGTGGGAGAAGATGCAAGGAGCAAGTGGCCGTGAGGAGAAGATTCTTGTTTTGGTGAGGTTGAGGCCTTTGAGTGAGAAGGAGATTGAATCAAATGAGGTGGCAGATTGGGAATGCATCAATGACACTACGATCTTATACCGGAATACCCTGCGCGAGGGATCTACATTTCCAAATGCTTATACATTTGGTAAGTAAACGATCATTTATGTCATTTTGCTAGTAATACCTTGTTTCAAGTCTGGAATGCCCTATAATGATTTTGCTTTGCATACACTTTACAGTTCACAACAATGGTTCTGCCTTATACTTTATTTGAACAAGAAAATGTTTAGTTTTATATCTTTTCTGCACTGCTCAACGGATCAAATCTAAACTGGGTCTGGTTCCATGTTTCTCTTGAGCTTGTTATCTGACTAGTGGGAGGCTTTGTACCCATGGACGGAGCTACATGGGGCCTATGGGGGCCCGTGCCCCCACTTACTTTTTTATCTATTTAATTTTCACCTATAATTTTATATAATTTTACAAACGTGCCCCCATCAAAATATATTTTCTATAAAAAGTGACCTTGTTTTTTTTTTTTTCTTGAACCTATCCCACTATTTTAAGTTATTAAATTGGTTTTCTTACTTAATCTCCTAGAAAGCCACTATTGTTTTGGTTGAATAATCTTAGACAATATTTGATCTCTTTTTTATTATCCACATTTTTTCTTCCACGCTTTTATAAAAAGCTTTGTTTGATTTTGAATTAATACTATTTTAACATAATAAGTTTGCGTTGATTAATTATGTGTGAATTTTACTTCTTAAACTTGGGGATTAGCTTTGATTTGCATATTTATAATTTATTTCTTAAAGAAAATTGTTAGTAACTATAAGGAAAAAAAATAAAAATGGTGAGAAATAAAAAAAAAAAAAAATTTCTTGTGAGTTCCCCCACTGAAATAAAATCCTAGCTCCCTCCTTGTTTGTACCATATGTTATTTGTTTATCTGACTAATGCATGTTGGGCTTAGTGCAGAAATTTCATTTGAGAATACAACTGAAGGTATATGTTACGGGAACAGAATAATTAGAGATGGATAAATGTATAACCTGTTTTCTATGGTATTTGGTTACAGACACAGTATTTCGAGGTGACTGCTCCACAAGGCAGGTTTATGAAGAAGGAACCAGAGAAATTGCTCTTTCAGTTGTCAGTGGTATCAACTGTAAGTATAAACATTGATACCCTCATTTCTTTCTTCTGATGCCTGTAATGCCGTGTGAAAAATTTAAAGCAATTTCTCTTTTTGTTTATCAGCAAGTATTTTTGCATATGGACAAACGAGTAGCGGGAAAACTTATACCATGAATGGTATAACTGAGTACACAGTGGCTGAAATATTTGACTACATACATAGGGTACTTAAAAGTCACTTATTTTTTGCTTAATTGTTTTTTTTTTTAATTTATTAACCGTACTCCTCTTTGCTGGCCTTGTTAACGAATGAATCATTATTGTTATCACTGCAGCATGAAGAAAGAGCATTCGTTGTGAAGTTCTCAGCAATTGAGATTTACAATGAAGCTGTAAGAGACCTCCTAAGCACGGATAACACTCCACTTAGGCTGCTTGATGATCCAGATGTGCGTGTATATATTTCTGCATTTTTTTTGGAGTTCATTTTATATCTTTTTGAATGGCACTGACACTTTCCTCTTATCATCAGAGGGGGACTATTGTGGAGAAACTCACAGAGGAAACTCTGAGAGATTGGAGCCATTTAAAGGAGCTTCTTTCTATTTGTGAAGGTGAAGCATTTTACGAATTTCCCTATGTTCATGTTATGTTCTAATTTTTATGTAATTTAATTTACTGTTGCAGCTCAAAGACAGATAGGAGAGACCTCATTGAATGAGAAAAGCTCCAGATCACATCAAATTATTAGATTGGTGAGCCCGCTTCCCAATCTCATATGTGATTAAAACCTCTATCTGCAAAAGCAGTTTTAGATGTTTTGCTTAGCTCTCGTTTCTCTTAATTCATTCTTGTAGGGGATTGAAAGCTCTGCTCGAGAATTCTTAGGCAAAGATAATTCAACTACTCTTGCAGCTAGTGTGGTATATTATTTTCTTCTGGATCCTATGTTCAGTGGTTAAAATTCTTTTTGGTACATAGTTATTAATAAAAGAAATTAATTCGTGATAATAAGTTCTGCATGTTGATGTTTGTTTGCAGAGTTTTATTGATTTAGCGGGAAGTGAACGTGCATCTCAGGCACTGTCAGCTGGGGCAAGATTAAAAGAGGGTTGCCACATAAATCGTAGTTTACTAACTCTGGGGACTGTTATTCGCAAATTAAGGTTTAAATATCTTTCCAAAAATAGTGATTTCTTTTTCCAATCTAAGTAATCAGATAAGTTTCTAGCTTCATAAATGTGGTGATACTATTTAATGCAGTAAGGGGAGACAAGGACATATTAATTACAGAGATTCTAAGCTAACACGCATACTACAGCCTTCATTGGGTGGAAATGCTAGAACTGCCATCATTTGCACTTTGAGCCCTGCAAGAAGCCATGTTGAGCAAACTAGAAACACTCTTTTGTTTGCTTGTTGTGCAAAAGAGGTGTCTACAAAAGCACAGGTCAATGTAGTTATGTCTGACAAGGCCTTGGTCAAGCATTTACAGAAAGAGCTGGCTAGATTGGAAAGTGAACTGAAAACTCCTGGACCTGCTTCTTCAGCTTGTGATTATGTTGCATTACTCAGAAAGAAAGATCTTCAGATTGAAAAGGTTTGATTTCCTTAATTCATTTTTCATATGCTTAATATGTATGGGATAGAGGGAGTGTCAGTACAAAAGTTAATCTTAGAGCATCATTAAGATCATGAGCTACCCCACACTTAGCAGTACAGCTACTAAGAAAGAAAGAACAATACTTCTTTTTATAGTTTTAAGTATTTGTATGAGCTGATCAGTAAAGTGAAGAACTTTTGGTCATTAGTAATCTCTCTCTTGCTCCCATTATCGTAAACATACCTTCCAAGTTTTTTTTTTTTTCCTACATTTCGTGTTTGTAGCATTTGTCCATTCATTCCGCACATCCAAGTGTCCTAGCAACATTTTCTGGCGTCAGCAATAGAGCTCAGACCAGGATAAGGTTTAATTCCAGTTTAGAGTAACAAAAGCCACACCACAAACAAGATGGACACACACAATTTATGCCTTTAAATTTCTTGGACCAGTCATTTAATGTAATCTTTTAACTCAAAATTGCCTTTTGTATACATTTAATAATGCAGATGGAGAAGCAAATTAGAGAGCTAACGAAGCAACGGGATTTGGCTCAATCACGTGTGCAGGATTTACTGCAGATGATTGGAAATGGTCAACATTCAAGAGAAGTACATGTTATTGCCTTATTTTGTTTATTACAGTTCCATGTTGTAAATAGTCTTCCACTAATTTTTGATTTCTTGGTCTCTTTCAGCGTAACGATGATCATCCTAAATTGCAGGCGGAGGATACATGGGAAGATGAAGGTTCTGTATCAGAATCGTCAAGTGTGGTTGATCGTAGTTCAATTGGTATTAGGCGGTACAGCAATCCCCATTATGATGATAGGGACAGTGAGAATAGTCCTGATGAGCATCAGCTACAGGACAATGACAATGACAATGATCATTACCTGTCCGATGGAACGTCTTCACCACTGACAGCTGGAAAGAAGTTTGTTCAGTCTAATTCAAGACACAGTCAAGATGAAACTGCAGAAGGTCCCGATGACTACTGCAAGGAAGTTCAGTGTATTGAAATGGAAGATTTGAGTAGGCCCAAGGATTCTGATGGTGGCAATGAAGGAGCTTTGGCACTGTCTGGGAATACAGATACAGTTGGTCAAGAAAACTCAGTGAACAGAGGCAGAGAACTGGGTCAGATGCAAAATGGCTTTGCATATGATGTCTTGGAGCAAAGACTTAATGATGTACAAATGACCATTGACTCTCTAGCCACTGCATCGGATATGCCTAGTTCTAGAAGCTTTAGTTTAACTAGAAGTTGGAGTTGTAGAGCTGATCTGCTGAATGGCTCATCTCCTGATAAAGCACATAGAACCCCATCTAATGGCTTTGAGAAAGGCTTTCCTGGAAGACCTGAGGGTCTTGGAAGGAGGTTTCCTCTTTTAAATTTTGACGCCAAAAGTATGAGGTTGTCAAGAAATAATTCTCAATCTTCTTTCGGAAGTGCCTCCGTGGATGAGCTAAGAGCACAGGGTGGCAGGGCTGGGGATGAGGATGTTACTAGCCTCCATACTTTTGTTACAGGACTGAAGGAAATGGCCAAGCTTGAGTATGAGAAGCAACTTGTCGATGGTCAGGTGAGATAGGCATGTTAGATTTTCCACATTCTTGCATGATGTTGTGTCGATTTTGTTTTATGTTTTATTGGATTTGTATCTTATTTCTGGTTAGGCATTGTTATAGGTACTTGAAATTATTGGCTCATATTCTGTCAGACATTTTTATACAAATTGGTACCATATTCATGGAATGAATATAAACAAGATTGGTTCAGGAACTACACATTTCTTTAACAGTTAGATTTATGTTCTTGTTTTCAACTCATCCAAATGCATGTGCCCGCTCTTAGAAATTATTCTTCGTTAACGTGTGTTTTTTGGTTTGTGCTTACTAGGCACAAGAGACGCAGTGCAAAGCTGAGAAGAATGTGAAAGACATAGGAGTAGATCCAATGCTAGAAACAGAAGAAACTCCAGATTGGCCTCTAGAATTTGAAAGACTTCAAAAGGCCATATTGGAACTTTGGCAAGCCTGCCACGTGTCATTAGTTCATAGAACCTACTTCTTCTTGCTCTTTAAAGGTGATCCGTCAGATTCCATTTACATGGGGGTGGAGCTTAGGAGACTGTCTTTCCTAAAGGAAACATATTCTTGTGGAAATCAGGCCATGGAAGACAGTCGGACCCCCACATCGGCTTCAAGGTTCTCTCTCACTCTCTCCCTTTCTCTCTTCTAAACCCCAAATGTTGGATCTGAATTTTGGGAAATTATTATGCTAATTTGCCTGTCACGTCTTAAGAAAACTAAAAATGGCGGGTGCATGTTTTATTAAGGAAAAGGTTACAGTTATGTCTGCAACTTTTCCAAGCATTTGAAAGGATGATATATTTTGATTAACCGAAAGGGTTGTACGCTTATACTTACAATGCTTCTTGTACGACAGCATTAGATTCAGGCTAGGAGTAGAAAAGAAGAGTTGTAAGGTTGAAAAAAAGCGTTTAAACTTTCATACTTTTTCCTTTTTTAATTGAAGTAACAAATTTTCAGTTAGCATTTCATGATAAATGGTTGTCTCATGCACAATACTTACTGGTACATAAGCATGAAACTAAGACCAACATATTTGTTTGGAAGCAGTATGAAAGCTCTTCGTCGTGAGAGAGAGGTGCTGGGCAAGCTGATGCAGAAAAGGTTTTCGGAAGAAGAAAGGAAGAGACTCTTCCGGGAGTGGGGCATCACATTAGACTCCAAGCGTCGGAGGCTGCAGCTGGCAAACCGCCTATGGAGTAACCCGAAGGATATGAACCACGTCAGGGTGAGTGCTGCGATCGTTGCAAAGCTGGTGAGGTTCGCAGACCAGGGGCAGGCACTCAAGGAGATGTTTGGTCTTAGTTTCACACCTACTATTACCAAACGTAGATCATATGGCTGGAAAAACAGCAGGATATCTCTTTTGTAATCTTGTATTGTGCTCATATAGAGGTGGTTTGTCTAATTAATTGGCCATATAGTCATCTCTTTTTTTTTTTTCACCAATGAAATTATATTAGTTTACTAACTATTGTAAGGGTAAAACTGTATTAGTCTGGCCTCCACAGGTTCTAATGCTATGTATGTATGTATGTTGTATTTTGGTATGCGGCTTTGGGATTTGCCTCAGTTTTAATGAAATATAAGAAATTGATCTCTCTCTCTCTCTGTCTCCGTGTTGACGATTTTTCTGGATGTGATTGTAAAACTCAAGGACCAAAATGAAAAAAAAAAAAAAAAAAAAAACGAAAAGAAAAAAGAACAAATAAAAAAAGCCCAAAAAGATAATGCAGAGAGAGTGACAAAAGTAGTATTCCTCTATTTCACTCAAAGGACAAAATGAGCCGTGCCCTCACAGCAGTTACAGGCCTTCAGTACTGAGCTCGGCCTTGCAGTATTTCGTTTCCTGATACTATAAACACCTGAATAGCCTCATTATCTAGCGGTATGGGACATTTTCTGTGAAGGTGACTTTCAGTGCTTCAAAATGCACATACTCGTGTAAATCTTTCGTGCTTATGTTGAAAACTCTCCTGACCTGGGATGTTGCAGAAAAAGCACTGGAATTATATGAAAACTGGTATGTTTGACTATTTTTCGATGAATTAGGCGCGATGACTATCTGAACATGTTTAGTGAGAACTTTGATTATAAGAGTTGCTCCAAAATCTGTGCTTATTAAGCAAGTAAGCTACCAGTTTTTCATTCCAAAGCTTTTTACTCGAGTAGAGTCAAGGCATTATGCATATTTATTTAAAGAAAAGATTGAGACTTTTTTTTTTTTTTTTTTTTTTTTTCCAGATTTTACGTTGCTACTTTGAATTGGGAGCCTAAGATCAATATGGACCAAATGGTATCTTTGTCCCTTCATATGAATGAGATTATTTGAAGTGAGACAATGTTACAATGCAAAATCCACACTGTCAGTTTCCTTTATTTTTTAGTTATTGACACTTCGGATTTTGAGCATCGTGATACTTTGGCACCTGATTTTTAATTTTACTAAATTACTCCATGAACATTTCATTTTTGATAGTTTTGATCCTTTAATACAGCTAAACAGCTACTTAGTTGGATGCATCAAAGACTTGTTTGGATTTATAGGGTCTCTTTGATATTTGCTTTGACATTGCGGTTGTTTTCTTTGACGTATAGAATTTGTTTGCGGTTGTTTTCTTTGACGTATAGAATTTGTTTTGCATTGTTTTCTGAATTTGACTTTTTAGACCAAAGAAATTGCTTCTAAAATAGTGTGTGAATAATTTTTTAAAAGGGTCTTGACTCTTTAAAAAATTTTATAAGCAAAAAAAAAAAAAATCGCGAGAATGAAAATAAAAGAAAAAAAAATTAAATATTATTTCTGTCTTATATTACATCTTCAATAATTTTTTTTTATCAGAATCTTCGATAAAATTTTATAAACCACAGTAACATTTGTATTATTCATTTATTGAAAATTTAAATATTATTTCTAAGGATCTATTAAGCAAAGCGGAAAACAACAGAGTGTTTTCTTCAAAACAACATCTTTGATTTGGAAAAAAAACAAAACAAAAAACAAAAGAAAAAAGTTCAGCAAAACGGTGTCGTTTATAACTCCTCCAAATTCCTCCTCAATGAGATGCAACAGTTACTGGAAGAAACCTAGAGAGACCCCACTCCTCCCATCCCCAACCTGGAATTGTAGAGAGAGAAAGAAGGGTCTAGAGAGAGAAAGATGAGCGCAGTGTCGACGGCGGGTTACCTAGCTCGGAGGGCAGCGCAGAAGGAGAGGGTTCGGATCCTCTACCGCCGAGCCCTCAAAAACACTCTCAACTGGGCCGTCCATCGCCACCTCTTCTATTCTGATGTACTCCACTCCCTCTGATCATTTTCTCCATTTCCATGTCTTCTTCTTTCTCACAATTTTCAATTTCCGATTTTTACTATCATTTTCAGGCTTCAGACCTTCGCGAGCGTTTCGAGGCCAACAAGCACGTGGTTCGTCCTTCTCGACATTCTCCTCTCTCAGTTTGTTAGCATTTTGGTTTTGCACATTCGCTTTTTTTCTTAAAAGAAAAAAAAAATCGATTTTAAGAGTAAAAGTTCGAATCTGAATAGGGCACATATAAGGATTTTGATTGGTCTCTGACCTATGAGAAATGGTTGTTCCTTTTTTTTTTTTTTTAAGGCTTCAACTTTTTCATGCCGCAGGGGAATTGTAAAAGGCTCTTCATTTATATTCTTGCAGTTTATTTGGATTTGGAAAAAGTCTTGTTGAAATTCAGACGAAGACATGTTTTCCCTGTTTCATAATTTGCAGAATTTTTTTACTTCGAAAATTTGCAGCTTTATGTTTAAGTTATTACAATGTGTCAATACATGTGTGTGTGTGTGTGTGTGTGTGTGTGTGTTTGTGTGTATATATGTATATACAGCTCTTTTAGACATGGACAAACAAGTGAAAAGGTCAGATGTACGTTCTGTTGAAAACCCACTTAGGGAAAGTTTCCTGACAAAGCCCTGTTGATAAAAATATCACTGTTGATCGGCTTTTCCGTTCTAGCCTTTAGCGGAAATTTGCAAAGTCTCAAGGTTTACACTTGAACCATTTTTACTTACCATTCAACTTTAGTTGTGATGGACAAACGTCTGAAATATGTCAACAGAATCATCAGAAAATGTAATTAATCTTTGGTGCGTAATTGCGGACTGTGTTTAGTTCCTGGGATTATGATACTATCAGTAAATTAGTCTATCATACGTTTTGAAAGACAACAACAAAAATCAGAGTCATAGAAGAAACCTGATCATCGAGTAATGTTATTTACTGAAAATTTTATGTTATGAATTATATTAGCTTTAAAGCTTAATTTTCAGTTCTATGTATATTAAGCAGAGGTTTTTGGTTGAATTGGTTTCTGATGTTTAAAACATTTATGAAAGAAATTGTAATTTTTCTATTTCATGGAGCTTAGTAAGTCACGTTTATCATAATAGAAACACGTGATGATTGTGATGATGATTTACATCTATCAAAGTGAAGTATTTGTTCTTTATTTCATTTTTGTTAGTCTAGTTCCTAAATCTTGTGTGGCTTCTTTACTGGATATACAGGAAGATCTTGATACAATTGATAGACTGATAGCTGATGCGGAAGAAAGCTACAATATGTGGCGGCACCCTGATCCTTATATTGGTATGATCTATGATAGCATGTTTCATAACATAAATGTTCTTTTTGCAAGGTTTTGGATGGTAATTATGACTGAGAATTGGTTATAACAGTGTCTTATTTTTAAATGTCAGTACGTCATGAGGTCTGAATTTATTTATTCGTATGTCTGTTTTAATAATGATCTTCTGGGAAGATTTTTAAGCCTTTTTCTTCCAAGTTCCAACATGTCCCAAAGTTGATCGTGAACAGCTATATCTGTCCTTGATATGAATCGACCCTTTCTGACTCAGAATACCATTCCTCCTTCAGTCCTGTATCCAATCCCACCACATACAATCACACAGAAAGTGAGAGTAAGACCATGGTTGATCACAACATAAACAAGTAATATCGATCCAATTTACTTAGGTTTTTGGAATATTGTGAAAACCAAAACTAAGTAACACTTTAGAATCTTATAAGATATATATATATATATATATATATATGTATGTATATAATGTTCGTGTGGGGGTGGCTGTGTGTGTGTGTGTGTGTACTATTTTTGATAAGTTTAGTATCCTAAGAAAGTTGTTCTTGTGCTTTGAGCTAAAAAGAAAACGTAGCCCTCTGTAGTTGTGGTGGTGATATGCAGAGGGGTTTCTGTGATATGACATTAGATGGATAACACTCAGGAAATCTTTGATTTCATATGAGATTATTACATTAATATGTCTTTGACAGTTAGACTCATGTTTTATTGGATCTATCCAAAACTCTTGTTAGGATTTTTTCCAGCCGTTTGTAGATTCTCATAAGAACATTGATAAACCTAGGGCTGGGATGTGAAACTGATTTTTCTATGTTGTGCAATATATTTCTTCTCTTATGTCGTGCATAATTTTAAACTTTTTGCTTCTGTTTTACAGTTCCATGGGCTCCTGGTGGTAGCAAGTTCCATCGCAATCCAACTCCACCTTCCGGGGTAATTTGTTCAAATCAATTATTATTCTATGTATTTCTATGTTGCTGCTTGGTTGCTTAAAAGAATATAACATAGTTTAACTATATTAAACTCAACATGTTGCATTTGCATATCTGTTGGAGTGTTATGCTTCATTGTTCCTCCCTAAAGTAAGGAGGAGGAAATGGGTAAATGATAAAAACATGTTTGATTTCTCTCCCTCTCCCTATCCCTTCCCCCCTCCCTCCCTCGCTCTCTCACTCTCTCGCTCTCGCTTTCTCCCTCTTTGGTTGTTTGTATCAATTCAACACAATTCTTTGACTCCTCTTCTAATTTAGATCTCTCTGTTTACAATAAAAAGGATTTTTTGGAGGAAACAACAGTTCTTTTTGTTGCTGATAAAATTCAACCCACAAGAATTTCGTCGACTTGTCTCCTTATTTAGATCTCTTATAGCTCAAGTTTTAACACTTTATTTCCTTCCTGTAATAAGAATGGTTGTGTTTTTCCTATGGAGTAACAATGTTCTTGTTACCCATGCTGCCTTTGGACTACAACACTTGGTGTCGAGTCTTATCATGCATTCGAGTTAATTATTGCTGTTTGCATCCATATTTTGATCAATTGTACTACTTTCCACTCATGCAGATTGAGATAGTATATGACTATGGCAAAGAAGATAATGACTAAAACCTGCAAGTTTTTCCTGCAAATAAATAAAGGTGGGCGTTTTAATTCTGATTGATATCTGGATAATTCGCTGCATTCTTTGCTTTCCATGTATATTCAGTGAATTAGCTTTTGAATGCACCAATTATGGAATATGGACTCTTGTGGCTATTGGCATTCAAATCGCTTTGACGAGCGGAATTAATTTGAAAAATGAAAAAAGAAACTATTGGCATCCATCTAGTTGTTTGTTTTATTTATGTAGTTGTAGTTTTTTTAGTAATGGCTTTTCTTTTGATATTTATTCTAAATTTGTCTCTCATGTAGATTATGATGACCAGTTGCAGTTATTTGGAAGATAATGTTCCAGGCCAGCATCTTTTATGTGTTTCAAAGCAAATTCTTGCTTTAAAAACCTTAATTGTTGAGGTGCTCAGTTGCCATGTATTTGGTACTTTTGTTTTGGAAGGATCTTGGACACACAATGTGATGATGCGTTATGAAGCAAAATGGTTGAATTAAGCATGAATCATGAATGCTTTCGGTGCAAAACTCGGTTTCTATAGAAATAAGTTTTTTTTTTTTTTTTTTTTTTTTTTTTTTTTTTTTTTTTTTTTTTTTTCTGGCTTGAACAACAATATTTATGCATCCTTAATTACATCAGAATCAGTCTGTCCCTGGGGCTATTCATTTGCCTGCCTGTGGCAATGGACGACATTACAGGTGTAAATTCCTGAATATGATATAAGCTTGGTTAAGAATGTGAGTTGTTTTCCGGATTCTATCACATAAGGAACAGAAAGCATGCACAAGTGAGGATAAGAACCATAAAGGAGAACATGAAAAGGTTGTGTCTAATGGGCTCTTCTTTTTTTCTTTTTTGATTCTCTCTTTCTTTTCTGAAACAAGTCAAAAGGGAGCTCTTTATGTAGGATATCTTCATTAGTAATGCATGTTTTGATCAAGTTACATCAAAATAAATGAAAAAAGGATGTAAAATGAAATTTATATAAATAAAATAGAACCGACCGGTAAAGTAGAATGCTCTTCTTTTTTTTCCCCCCTACCAATAAAACATTTTGTTGATTTAAATTAGACGTGACCGGAAAATTCTGAGATAAACTCGGAGGAAATTATCCTTGTGCTGCAAGGAAAATCATTTTCACAAGAAGGTTTAATGAAACACAAACGAAGCACGGTGCCAACTTGTTGAGTCACGCACGCTGAGAGAAATAAAGAGACCTTTCACCAGGAAAAGGGGAGAAAAAAACAGGAGAAACATGGTGCTTAGTTGTTGGGTCACGCTTAGAGAGAGAGAGAGAGAGAGAGAGAGGGAGGGACATGATCTAAATTTGTTGGGTCACATCACACTCCAATGAAGTGAGTGAGAGAGAGAGAGAGAGAGAGAGATAAATAAGGCTAGAGAAGTAAGCTGACTGAAAGCATCTACAAGGTGCTGATTATAACCTGCAAAATGTATATAAAACTAGTCCACTCTCAGCACATAAAACATTTCTAAATCCCATAATAGTAATTTGCATCCAACAACCATTACATCCCTGAACTAACTATCACAATTACATTATCACACATTTAAACTCGGACAACTTGGTGCGCAACTTCTTACAAGATACTCAAGAGTCCCTTCTTCATCCTTGAGTCCTTAGCTTTGCCCTTATCTCAGTTAAATCATTTCCCGTACCTTTTTTTTTCTCCGTAGTCTACCACAGATGGATGATGAAGCAGCTGTGAAGGTGAAGAAGGTGACAAATACTATAATCTTTCAGGCAACACCGATACGAGTAAGTGTCTCTCTACTAGCCATTTTCCTGCTCATGTGGATCATTCGTACAGGATTCGGAGTTGTAACTGAAGCGGAAATGGAAACTAGAAGCAGTAACTGGGGTTTTCATTTTGGTGTTGTGACTTTACTCTTTGGTATATTGTTTGTGGCTCTTGGCCTTCCCATTCTGACAAACTTGTTTCTCAAATTGTCCGAACAATTGCAGAAGCATGACGAAACAAGCATCTACCCAGGTATTTAAAACCAGATTGTTTAGTTTAGTTTTAGTCATTTATACTTGAGTTTTTCCCATGAACTAGATGAAATAGGTAAACAAAAATTTGGGTGTTACAAGGGTAAACTCTGGTTTGGAAACTATGCTCTTGAAAAATCTGTGATTTCTTACTTTTGGTTCTTAATCTAATAGAATTAGAAAATACCACACTTGAATTTATTGACAACAGAGCTTTAAATTGGAAAATAACCATGATTAAACCAGCAAGAACTTTAAGCTGCTCTCAGGTTTTCACACACCTGCAGTTTCTGTTTTCATTCTTTCATGTTATCGTTGTTCTGTATGTCAAGAAGAAATATCAAATAGATCGTTCTGTTTTCATCCAAAGATATTCTAACAAAAGCAGGTGGTGGAGAGATGAAGCCAATCCACACAATCGTCGGTCGCATCTTGGTGACCTTGATCACAATGGTCATGCTAGCATGGGCATCTTATACTGGCTATAGGCTTGCAACTGAGCCAAGAAGAGACGACAAGTATTATCCCCTAATCTTCCCAATCGGGATTGTTACTATTGTCTTTGGCTCGGTTTATATAATCATTGGACTCGGCCTAATTGCAGACTTAGCCCTAGCTTTAACAGTGCAGTTGCTGCTGAGAAAGAAGAAGGGCGTTATAGCTCATCAAGATCCCAACACAGAGGCTAAAAGCTTTGTTTGAAGACTCGAAGATGCATCACAATCATATACAATATATACATATTATGCTGTTACATGATTAGTAGGAGAGTTTATCTTTTCCAGTGTCTTTATATTTTCTCAACGTAGCAGAAAAAACATATTCAACGCTCGCAAATGCAAATAAGTAATGAATCATGGATATCACTCATTTAAACAATTTTTTGCTCCCTTTGGCTAAGATTCATAATTAAACTACGTAGAGATCAATAGCTTTTACATGGCATAAACTTGGCAGAAATCAGTAGCTCTTGAAAGTTCATAAGTCATAAACAAAGCAGAAATCAGTAGCTTCCACAGAATCGGAATGAAACTGGTCAATGATGGCCAAAGTTTTTCTCTTCATGATTTGGCCAGACATCAAGGGAATAATCAAAGTAACTAAGCTTTTTATAATAAATATACATCCGGCATATGCTCTGAGCATTACAGAAGCAACGCAGCTATTCTTATCTGCTGTATCATGAACCAGTAAGGGTTCTGTTTACCTATTCCCAAACTGCAGATTATAGGCCTAACATTATACTGGTCCGAAACATTCATACTGACACGGTGTTATCATGAGCAAGCAATAGTCATCTTCATTTATATTCTAGCTTCAACCCCGGTGGCTGGTGTTACTCAAGCCTTTCCTGTTCAATGTAAGGGCAGTAGCCTTAGAACAAATCTTAGACCGAACCCAGACACCGCCAGAAGAGAAAGTGCAACCACCCCACCCACCAGCCCAGTCCCGTGCAACTCCATCAGATTATAAAGCGGTATCCTTAGGTATAAGTGCGGAGGGAAAAACAGCATTTCTTATAAAATGGCTATAACTTGATGTCAATCCTATCAATTGTAACATCTACAGAATGGGGTTCTCTATAAAACTCGAATGAACTGATCTAAGTCGAATTGTTCTAGCACCACCATTGAATTGGCTCACAATTCCTAGTATTCACTAATGAGCCCCAATTTCTCAAATCAATTACAAACCTTTCACTCAGTGGATTTGGAGGTTGCAGCTAAAACAAGTAATTCCCCCCATTGTTGACTACTGTAGCCTTTCTCAGTCTCACTAACACTGAAACTTCCAAAGCGTATTCCAAAATTGATTTTCACCACTAAATGCTTTCTTAATTGCATAATTGCACACACACTAGTCTAAGATAAACCTAAATTCAGAAAAACTTCAAACCTTATCCATTATTATGATGTATCAAATGCAAAGCTCATTGAAATTCAACGGAGAAAAATGGCATTAAAATATTCAGATTATAAAAGAAACATACTTTTTAATAATTATTGTCATCCTACATTTGCTCTTAAGCAGTCAAAAAAGCAAAGCATGCTCAAAATCCTGAACCAAAACCCTAGCAACATAAACCCCCGAAAAAAATCACAATGCAGAAAAAGAAAAAAAAAAAAAAAAAAACAGACTTCATAGTAAACTACTCATTCTTCATAAACCCAACTTGTAGTGTATATATCTTGATCGAATATCCATAAAACACACACACACACACACACACACACACACACACACACACAAAAAACAGAGAGAGAGAGAGGGAATCAGATGAGCTTGAAAGGAAGAGGCCAAGGAGTGGACCTGGGGACCTCGACCTTATCCTTAATGCGCTCGATCTTCTTCTCCTTCTTGGGCCTGCAGTTTCCGTACGATCCCTTGAACCTCTTCCCTCTCTTCGTCCTCTTGTCCCCTCTCCCGCACACCATCGCCTCCCCTATTCCGCCGGCAGAAGCTGATGCCGGCACCGGCGCCGTCGTACCGGAAAACGACGACGAAGACGAAGAAAACGACATGAACGGAGGTCGTCTGTGAGTCGCCAGCACTCGCCGCACTACGGCGCCGCACCACTGCATCGTCACCATTTTTTGTCTCTCTTTTTCTTTTTTTCTGCACTCAAAAAATCAGAATTTTGAGTCGGAACGACAAGACAAGACCAGGCTATTTAAAGAGATGAGAAATTGGGCTGGGTCTTGTTCTACTCGGCCCATAATAGGGCTCAAGAGTGTGAGCAGAGAAATTTTGGGAAATAGGAATTAAAGAGAAAATTGTTGAACCTAGAGTCCGTGATTTGGAATTTTACCGCTTCTTAATTAATATATTTTTATTAATGTAGTTATTTAATTAAAAAATATTAATTAAATTAAGAGTCAAAATTTAGACTCATATAATTTAAAAGATATTTATCTATTTTTCTCTGTCCATCATTAATCAAACTTGTTAAAAAGGGTTAGATTTAAGAAAAACATGTTACTTATTTATTAAAAAATATATAAGTATAAAATAATTATAATTCATCATTATGCATATACTTACAAGTCCTAAGAAAAAGCCTTTCAAGAGTTGAGCATTTTACCTAAATTACTTTTTTCCCACCCCCTTTTTTTTTTCAAAACATTGCGAAGATTCTTTTTTGTTCATTTACATTCAAACTCAAAAAAAATTTGAATTTAAGTTACAATTTTATTTAAGTTCATGTTCTTTTGAAAAATTTGAGTTTTAATTTGAGTTTGAGGCTAAAATTGAATTCAAGCTCTTCCTTCAACTCAAGTTTTTAAATTCAAACTCAAGTTAATAAACGATATCTTTTTTATTCTAAAAAATGTCATAACTTTTTCTTTTTAATTCATTCCGATTGAGATGATTTTTTTCTATACGTTCACAACAAAAAGACGAATAAAATCATACCCATACACCCTATTAAAATTTTTCATCACTATTGAATTTTTATTAAAATATTATTTAAATATAAATTTAAGTTTTGACTCACTTAACCCCAGGCCCATTACGGGCCTGGGCCGGGCCTGAAAAGAAAAACTCAGGTCCGGTCTAGGCCTTTGGCCCTAGTCCATAAGGGCCAGGGCCGGGCTTGGGCCCAGGCCCTTGTATTTTTGTTTTAAATTTAATTAAAAATATATATATATATTATATGCCCTAAAAGATGTGATTTTATTGAATTGACGTAATATGAGTACACATAAATGACTGCCTCGTTAAAAACCTTGTTAAGTAAAACTCGTGGGGAGATCGGGACAAAACCTTAGTGAAGGAAAAAAGAGTGCAGTAGCTAGGAATAGTAAATTACAAACCCAAGTGCTTCCAGAAGATTTTGTTATTTCTAAGTTAGAAAAATATTCTTGCATCGAATCATCTGTATATTGTTGTTTTCGTCTTCTGACATTTTCCCAGTCTTTAACGCACATTAGTCCCTCTAAGATATCTGTAACACCCTAAAGAATTAATTAAGATTAATTAAGGTAATTGAGATTATTAGTGTGCCTAATCTGGATTATTAATTGAGTTTAATTAATAAATGTTTCTGACATGTGTGAGTTTAAATAGTTCCAAGGTATTTAAATTATTCTTAATAATTTATTTTAAACCAGAAGTGTGCATGGGCGCATTTCTGGACTGCTCTTTTAAAATATTGACACATGTCATTTTCTTTTCCTTTTCCTTTTCTTTTCTTTTCCTTTTTCTTTTTTCCTTTCCTTTCTCTTTCCTTTCCCGTGCACTCTCTCTCTCTCTCTCCTTCACTCTCACTCTCCCGCTCACTATCTCTCTCTCTCTCTCTCTCTCCTCTCTCTCATTTGTGTCCCAAATCAAACGGATATTGAACCAAGAAAAGATTTAAAGAAGTTTTCAACGTCAAGAGAAGGATTCGAGGTAAGATTACTAAAAGAACCTCTCTTGAATATCAAGTTTTTGAATTTCAAAACTTATTTTTGGTTCAAACCAGATTTTGATGGTTTTTGAGCAAAACTGGAGTAGAAATTGGAGATCTTGGGTTCTTTGGACTTGTTTTAGGACCTAGAACCCAGATCTAGTGATTTTCCTTTGAAATATCTCGATTTGGGACTGAGATTGCAGGTTTTGGACTGATTTCCGTGAGCTTCTCTCGCGCAGCTGATTCCACCGGTCGACCGGATCACATGGAAACCGGTCGACCTATGCGGTTGACCGGATTATAGGCTGACCGGTCCGGTCGACCGGTGTGCACACTACTGGTCGACCGGTAGTGTTGCACTACTCTGTCACCGGTCGACCGGTTGACACGGGATTTGACCCTGTTTGGCCTGGAATTGTTGTTTTGACCCCTGTTTTCGGAGAGAACCCAAATTAGCTTCATTTGGGGACTTGAGATAAATGGATTAGCATTATTAATCCTTATTTTGAGATTGAAAACCCTTAGGATGATATTTTGAAACATGAAAATGGATTAGGGCACACTAATAGGAAATCTTGGTTGGAAATGAGATTTGGATTGCTTTAGGAATGAGAATTAATCTTAAAGTGTTGTCTTGCATCAGTGATCGCTGAGGATTCAGACTGAAGGGGCTTGAAGAAGCAGAAGCCGAAAAAGGCAACGCTAGTCCCAGGTTTGATAGTGCGACGTAGGATTTCTATCCATTTTTCCTTGTGAGCTTGTTTTCAAAAAAGATTTTGGCATTGAAAATGTTTTAAAGAAAGGGATTGATTTGTGAAAGAAAACGCTTTGAAAACCATGGCTTGTTTAGTCATGGACCCTCATGGCTTGTCCAGTCATGGGGCCCGCGGCTTGAGTAGTTCGTGGGGGCGGATTAACGATTTTAAAATGTTGATGAATGATTTCTTAAGCAAAGAGATCTTGTGAACTGGTAATAGAGTCTAATGCTGTAAGCCTAGATAGGATGCGGAGAGTGCATCCTCGGGGGCAGAACCTGAAACTCAGTCCGGGTAGGCGAGGCACTTGGTTAGGTAAGTAATCTGTACTAATTACTTGCTGAAGCTTGTAAAACGGTTATTTAGAGCTATATTTCCTTTGAGAAAAAAGATGTGAGGTTCCGGCTGTTCCGTCGGGACTGAAGGTCTTATTTTATTTACTTATTCATTTATGTATTCCCTCGCCCATTTATTATTCATTTATTTATAACGTTTATTTCAAATTATATCCTACTGGGCCTTTCGCTCACGTTTTATGTTTTAAATGTATTAAACCCCTCCCAGGAGATTCTAGGAGTGGTGCACAGTAGCTAGATATTTGCTACGGAGCAGCTAAGTTGTGCTGCTGTTGGAATCAAGTGAGGATTGTGGACATCTTCTTGGACAAATGAAAGGAACTGAGAATTCTGTAAACTTATATAATATTTGTATTTACTAGACTGTGGTTGATGTCTGTTGTAATGATTATTTACATGAGCATGTATGTACGATACTGTATGTCCTGTGGGGTGGAGCCCTGTGTGTCAGAGGCTCCGGGATTCTGTAGTAATGTAATTATATTTTAATGCAGTTAAGTGTGGGGCCCGGTTGGGAATCTGCTTTATTAATCCATAATCGAGCTCCACGTCACCCACCCCGTTTGGGGGCGTGACAATATCTGGATGCATTCTGCTTCTCTTCTCGTCAAGAATTTGGTTGCTTGCACTAAAAGCTTCCTCCGATGCTACCGTTGACACTGGAGTTGTAAGAATGTCACGAGCTATTATGGACAGTGTAGGAAAATGATCAGTCTTGCTCTTCCATCACTATAAGATGTCTAGTTAGTCGTCATCGATTACAAAATTTACTTCAAAATATTTGACTAGTTCCGTAGACGCTTGTGTTGAGGACGATTCTGCCGTTTTCTCTTTCTTCTTCAAGAATTCCACGATGATCCTTTAGGCCCCGAACTGGTAGTTGACGACGAAGTTCCCTATTCTTTTTTACCTGTGCTATATTTTACTTCATACAAACTAAAAACTTTTTCTAACATTTTCTTAGCGTCAGTAATACTTAGTTGCATATCTATTTCTAAATTCTCTGCGGTAGCAGTCATTAATGATTCAGTTCCATCTACTCCGCACCTAGGATCTAAAATGGTTGCCAATGCATATAACATAGGACAACATGACCAATAACTTTTAAATTTATTTTCCATTAAGTTAACTATATTTCCAAAAGTTATGTATCCCTATAATAAGAAAATATTTCTGAAATATTAAATAGTTGATGTAAAGCTAAATGCGCAGTAGGATAATAAACTATAGAAAGTAATTTAGTAGCATTGTAAAAAACTTCTAGAAATTTAAAAAAATACTCAGCAATCTGCCAATCAGGATCGAAAATTAAAATTTGATAGTTCTTACTGTTTACGTATGTCGTGATAAGCTGTGAATATGGGAGTGCTGCCTTCAACATTAAATATGTTGAATTCCACCTATGTCTCACGTCAGTTGGAAACTTTCTTAGGCGCATCTGGTTGTTCCTGCAATATTATTTGAATTCTTATAGCCGAGCTCCATAACTAGATATGAATGATAATGATTCTCTAATATTTATAAGATTAGTTGAGATATGTTCAATTCCTGCTTGAACTACTAAATTAATTATGTGACATGCACACCGTTGATGAAAAATTTCCCCTCCAAATGCTGGTTTCAAACTACGTTTAAACATATTAATTACAACTGTATTAGCTGACGCATTATCAAAAGTAATTGTTAAAACTTTATCTTATATCCCATAAAATCCAAAAATTTCCATTATTGTACTAAAAATAGCTGTTGCGTTATGAGGATATGGACATAAACGAAAACCAATTATTCTTTTTTGTAAAACCCAATCGTCATCAACGTAGTGCGCTGTGACACATAAATATCCAGTTTTATTGAACCCTTCCCACAGATCAGAAGTGTAAGAGATAGTAGCATTAAAAGTTTTAAAATTATCAAAGAGATTGTCTCATTGCATAAAAAATTTTCATGCAATCAGAACGAGTTGTGTTTCTACTTACCCGTTTAAATTGTGGGCAAAAGGCTGTCTGGATGAATTCTTCGAACGAGGCATCATCTGCAAAAGAAAGAGACAATTTGGCACTAGCTAGAAATTTAGCTAGTGCCTCACGAGCACGTTGTGCATCGTATGTAAAATTTTGTAACCCCTGTGATGTGAGTGATAGTGTTTGTTGACGGGAGTCCATACTCCCACCTTGGTGCAACGGCAGACATACTTTTCAATGTCTATCCAAATGACCAGTACCCCCACCCTTTTTATTAGAAAAGTGTTTTTTACAATATTTACATACCGCACGAATTTCCATCTCACCTGTTTTTGGATTTGGTCGGGGCTCCTCGGTGAAATGCTGCCATGCCGGAGAAGTTCGCGGTCTTTTTCCTCTGCTGCGTTCTCCAGCTTCCTCGTTGTGTACTGAAGCATTATCCGCCGGAGCATTTTCTGGTTCAGTAGGGGTGGGGTTGGGAGGCATCATTTCTTCCTCAAAAAATGCCTCATCACCAAGCTCAGGAAGAGCAGTGAAATTAGAAAAGTTTGGTGCGGCCATTTTCTGGAAATTGATAGAACTTGATTGAACTTTGTAAATGAAAGAGCTAAAAAATGAATGAATGCGAGAAAAAAGCTTAGAATCAAAATCAAAGAGACAAGTTGAGAGATAAAATGAGAGTGAGATGAGAAGTTGAGAGTGAATTATTGTGTGAGATTTATGGTGGAATTAAGGGGTATTTATAGGGGATTTTGGGGTTAAATTCCGGTTTTTTGCCGTTGGGCCCTTCGCGGGCCCAACGTGCGGCACGTGACAGGCCTCCCGTTTGACCCGTAAAGGGCCCCCTGGACCAAATGAAATGGGTTGTTTCATGGGCCGTTAATGCGGGCTTGGGCCGGTTGTGGGCCGGGCCGAACAAGGGCCATGCCGCGGGTCTCCACGTGCTTGGACCGCGGGCTAAGAAGCTGAGGCCCAGCCCTAACCCATTACACGTGCTGTGCCGGCACGGCCCGTAACAATAGCGAACCGGGCCATACTGAATCTGGCACTATTACGGACTGGGCCGGGCCGTCCATGGACGGCCCGGCCCATTTGACACCTCTAACTTAAATACAATTTTAAATAGATTCTCAGTTTAAACAGTAATTTAAAATTTTTGCTGACAACTCTTGCCATGTTTGTAGCGTACTAATTAGTGTAGTGTCTGCCCTGTTCACTTCGCTGATTCGAGTTTAGAATTCGAGTTGAGATGTGATTTTATGTGAGAGCTTTTAACTATAGTAAAAATGTTAGATGTGATTGTTTGTGAGAGTTTTTTACTGTAGAAAAACTCGAATTCTAAACTCGAATCAGCGAAGTGAACGGACCCTAATAGCACTCCTCTCAATCCGACCGTCCAACGGCCAAGTCTTCAGCCAGAAGTCCCCAAAACGACAACTTGAAGTACACTAAATGGTAATTGGGCAACTCACAAAATGGGTGATGGAAATGGCTCCTAGTTTTGCTGTGGCTCCAAATCAGTCACGTCAAATAAACTTTCATACACACAAACACAAACTCAAAATTTCATCTCTTCTACTCTCAGAAGTCTTAACTTGAATTCCAAAGCTTTTCTTCAATGGAGCTCCTTCACAAGGCAACTGCTTTCTCATGGACTCATACCATCTCTACCAGTCTTGTTGTTCCTCAACCACTCTCTGTGAGTTTACCCATTTCTCCTTTTCTTCTTCTTATCAAAACTTTGCTTCTTAAATTCGTTATTTTGCTTATATAATAGTGTTTTCATTTGTGGGTTTAGAGGTTTGAGGCTAAGAGACTCAGAGTTTGGTGTGCTTCTGATCAAACCAAGGTTTGCTCTTCAGAATTATATTCAAAATGTCTTTGAACTTTCAATAGCTTAATTTCTCTTTTATCATAATGTCGTTTAGAATAGTGGGCAAGTTGTGATTGCTACAATAGTGCTATTATTGATCACATTTCAACATTCTTGAACATCCTTCTAAACAATCCATTTTGGTCTCAAGTTTAAATATTATAAAAAATTCGAGCAATTCGGGCTTACAAGTCATAACAGCACAAGAATAATTTATCTGTTTAAAGGTATTTATGGCGCAAATTAAAATTCAAGCTTATAATAAATTAATCTGTTAATGGTGTCATCTTCTTCAATGTACTTGGCGTTATTTCTTCGTAATGTTGGTAATATAACTGAGTATCTTTATTCTGTCTTCTGATATTTTCTTCCATTTTTTGGTACCCTTAATATGAGAGTCATGCTTGGTTCTGTTTTGCACACTATCTAGGGTGACACATTTCGTTTTTCCATTCGCTAGATGGTTCTAATATGCATCGTTTTATTTGTTTTCTTGTTGCCTTATTGGTGCTTGATGAGTTCCCAATAAAATGTTATAATTATTTTATTTATTTGTTTGTCTTTTACTTTTGTAGCTTCTCATCCCATGGGGATTTATTGATTATTTTTAGGGTGTTGTAGGATAAGATGACTGTATCCATAACTGGAGCGACAGGTTTTATTGGTAAAAGATTGGTCCAAAGGCTTCAAGCAGGTTATGCTCTATCCATCATCATAGTTACAAGTAAAATTACGACTTCTATTTTGTTCATCAAATATGTGCTGGATGTGTTTTGGATGGTGTTCAGTTCTTTCGTTTGACTTGATATTTTCTCCTCAACTAATGTTAAAACTTCATGTTATTGCTACCCAAATGTAGTTCACCAATTACATTAATAGTGCATAAAATTTTCATAGTTTATTCAGAACTTAGGCTTTCTTCTTTTCTTACGGTTTTATACATAATGAAAGTGCCTTAAGACCAACTCAAGTTGATTCACTGTTGTAGTTGCTTGGTTCTCATGTAAGACTATATAGCTTAAAATGCTTTGTTTTTGAACTATTGAAAGTCACATCTCTTTACCTTTCGGTGTACGTCAGTTAGATTTGAGCTTCACCGTGATACGAGTATAAGCAGTTTAGACTTACCGTAATTCTCTTTTGTTCCACTCTTAAATGCAGATAATCATAGCGTTCGTGTCCTGACACGATCTAGATCTAAAGCTGAGTTGATTTTTCCTGGTAAGAAGGTAATGAATGTTTTGTGTTATTCGTCAAATGCTTGCATTGTGATAATTATTGAGTAGTACTAACTAGTGCATGTTTGGTAAAAATGTTCACAAGACCCCCCCTACAGAAAGAGAAAATAGAAGAAACAAAAGGACATTTTTTATTTGCTTGTTTTCTGTTAGTCACAGGCAAAGTTTAATTTTTTTCACTTTTTTGTTTTTCAAAGAGCTCTATCATATACTTGTTTTTGAAAATTCCCCCGGCATTTTTAGTCAGGAACTTTCCGGGAATTAAGATTGCAGAAGAGCCAGAGTGGAAAGACTGCATTCAAGGTTCAGATGGTGTTGTAAATTTGGCTGGACTGCCCATAAGTACAAGATGGTCTTCTGAGGTTAGTATCATTTCGTTACAGGGTTCAATTTTTATTGCGAGTGAGACTCAACACCTATCACTATCCCATCTCTCTTCATTCCCTTCCTCAGACACTCTAACAAATAAAAATATAATCTAACCGTGTCAAGCAGATTTCTTCTTGTTGATATCAGTACATGAAATTATTGGTCAGTCTGCTATAATACTAGAAAACGTGCCATTTTATGTCTGGCCTACTTCAGTTAAGTAGCATACTTCCAACAATTCAAAATATTTTGTATGTCTATGTTTTTCATACGTTGTGATCTGTCTTCTATGACACAAAACTTTAGCATTATATCTCTGGACCTCTTCATTTCAATAGCAGCGTTTTGTGATGAGTTAAAAAGGAGAATAGGTACTATTCATTCTAAAAGACAGTGGAAGTTATTAAGCTCTAATTGTTCTGCAGATAAAGAAGGAGATTAAGCAAAGCAGGGTTGGAGTCACGTCAAAAGTAAGCAGTCATGAAAACATTTTATGCATAGTCCTTTACAGAAATTGAAAATTCAAATTTCCTTTATTCAGCTTTCTTTTCTGACACTTTACTTAAACTGCTTTAACTGATTTCAAAGATTGTAGATTTGATAAATGGTTCACCAGATGGAGTTCGACCAAAAGTTTTGGTTAGTGCAACCGCCATTGGTTATTATGGTCTGTTCCTAGCACCAAATTCTTTTTTTTTTTTTCCCTCTTTCTTTCGCTTTAAATGTTAAAAGACATACATTGGATGTAAATCTGCAAAGCATTTTGAGATACTTTATAAGGAAGTAAATACTTCCTATTAGGTAGTTTCTGAGAAGACATTTGTATGCTCCAAGTGACACCCTTTAGGTTTCACAAATGCTGACTATAACCTTTTTCTTATTTTGTTTGAGTTTATATTAACTTATTCATTATTGAGAATTTAACATTTCAGGAAAAAAATTCTAACTAGGTTGCTCATCTTAAAGTAACATTCAAATGATTTTGATTGTTTGTTTTTCTCTGAAGATTTTGAGTGTTATTTAGTGATATCTTCTTAGGTTCACCTGGTTAAGAGCCAAGCTCCGATATGATCATTACATTTAAGACATTTTAATTTCTCTGTTGCATTTGTTAGCTATTGACACATGCTGGTAGAGAAATATACTTCAATGTTTTGTATTTGGGAACTTCCCGTGTAATATAATAATAATAATAATAATAATAATAAAATTTTCTTTTTTTTTTTAATTTTTTGTTCTGTTAAATATTCAGGCACTGGTGAGACACAAGTTTTCGATGAACAAAGTCCATCAGGAAATGATTACTTGGCTGAGGTAAAAAAAATTAGGTATTATTGATATCTTAATTATAAAGCCATATAGTGCTTTATGCATTTTCTTTTGAAGATAATTATCTTATGAAACAAACAATATTGGACATGTCCACAGAATTTCATCCTAGTAATGGCTAAAGTGCAAATATTTTCAGGTTTGTAGAGAATGGGAAGGAACTGCTCTCAAAGTAAATAAGGATGTTAGGTTAGCACTTATTCGAATCGGCGTCGTTCTCGGTAAAGATGGTGGTGCTTTAGGTATGTCTTAACTTTGTATCTCTTGGATGCCTGCTCACAAATCAAATGAACTTGGCTTTGAACAGCATCTCTATTTAGATATCAGCTTAGTTTACACGTCTTGACTAATCTTGCCAGGCTTAGGTACTTGAATTAATCCCAAGTAGAATCAGGGCATGTTTTTGCAGAGATATTTACAAATGTAACGTTCAAGTCCTATTTCCACCCATAGGGCTTTTTGACAATAAGCTTCTTCTATAATTTAAAGCCAAATAATTTAATTTTCCACCGAACTTAGGCATTTGTTGGTACTTGCAATAATGCCCCTTCAACTTCATAACATGTCATTCTCATCCCCAAACTTACAAAAAGCAAGAAAGCGTTATTGGAAGGAGGGTAAATGCAACACTTTTTTTTGTGAGTTTGAGGGTGAAAATGAAACATTTGAAGTTTGGAGTTGGTGGGAATTATTGAAATTAATCCGTTGTTTAACTGTACATAACATAACAAAATAACATACAAAAAAAAACTTTCTTCACTTCACACAGATTTCTTTTGGTCTTTGCAGCTAAAATGATTCCTCTCTTCATGATGTTTGCTGGAGGACCTTTGGGCTCTGGAAACCAGTGGTATTATTTGTACCTTATCTAAGTAGATTTCACTTCAGGCAAGCTTGAGATATCTTTTGTTGCTAATCTATTTGAGTTGTCAAAATGTGTAGTCTCATTTATTAGCCAAAAGGGTCTTCAATTCTTTTCCCAAGTTTCCTTCATGACTTTGTATGATTAACTATTTCATAGTTGTGCAGGTTTTCATGGATTCATCTGGATGACATAGTAAACCTAATATATGAAGCTCTCTCCAATCCATCTTACAAAGGTAAACCTTTCTTTCCTTATAAACCAAATTTGAATTATTGAACCATTGAAATAAGTTTGTGCAACATGAATTCTCAGGAGTGATCAATGGAACGGCACCGAACCCTGTTAGGTTGGCGGAAATGTGTGATCATTTGGGGAGTGTGATGGGAAGGCCTTCATGGTTGCCTGTTCCAGACTTTGCAATCAAAGCTGTTCTTGGAGAAGGTGCTGCTGTGGTAAGGATCTCTCACTTTTCTTCTGTTCTTTTTTTGTTTCCATTCTTTATTTTATTGGAGATGTTAGGTCCATTTTTGTCGCTAGTGTCATAGAGAGTGTTATAACACTTTACTGTAACACTGTTTTAATAGAAAATCTGAAATTAAACCAGCAAAACAGCAATACAGGAAAATAATGCATAAACATAAAAGACACCAGAAAATGATATCGCAGTTCGGTGCGCACACCTACATCTGCAGGGCCACGCCCAGACAGTGATCAATCCACTAAATTCAAAAGATTACAAAAGACCAAACGGTCTTACACACTCAACGACTCTCTCCTTGACAATGTCGCCGTTGCCTAGAATCTCCTTAGGAAGCTTGATCAGTGAGCACCACTCGACTTGATGGTTTCCTCCCGACACCAAAGAAATCTTCTCCCGAAAAACCAACTCAAAAGTGTTCTAACAATTCGTTGCAACACATCAAACGACACTTAACATTACAATCTCATTCTGACATGAACAAAATCATCTTTTCAGTTTTCAGCCCTCTCTCTGTTTCAAAAACAACACCTCACTACACGTTCTACCATTCCCCCCTTAATCACCCTGCCTCAAGCCTTAAGATCACCAACAATTAATTCCCCAAAAGTCCACTCTTGATTTTCAGCAATCAAGTCCTTTGATTTGCAGCCAATAAACATGACAGCAAGAATTTCCTTAAGAGGGCTGCCAATTTACAATGCCATCCAATCTTACAACCAATTTGTCAAAAATAAGCCAACACAAAATACACTAATAATCTCCCCCTTTGGCTATTTTTGGCAAAACTAACATTACTAACAAAAAGAACCTATTACAAGATAAAAGATAAAATCTGAGTTCTCCCCCTTTTTGATAAAATACAGCCAAAGTTAAAAATAATACTAATAGAAAAACCTTTTAGAAGCTGTTGTCGCAAAAAGTGTTGTAACACTAGATGTAACACTCGGTATAACACTTTCCTGCAAATCACATTCTAATTCATTGATTTCTGCAACTTGCTCCCCCTGAGTCCTCTACGAGTCTTACTCCACATGAATATAATATTCTTCCATGCATATTGCTTTTATCATCTATTAAATCAGATTTCCTTACCCAAACATGTCTAGGAAATTTATTTTGCGCATCAATCTTTGCTTTAGGTGTCCTTGAGTTTGCGGAATTTGATGGATTCATGAGCATACCTCTCTTCAAAGCATTCAAATACTTGTAGCATCTTGGTCTTATATGGCCAGCTAAATCGCAGTAATGACATATGGGAACAAACTTTTTACGTCGTGGGGGTAAGATAATACCTTTCTTATTGAGGATAGTTCGAAATTCAGGAGCGGGTGTCTCCTTCACAAACACTCTCTTGGATGTTGAACATTCACCAGTGTAGTCAAGTCCATGACGATCACAACTAGCTTTTTCCACAGAGAGAATATGATCAAGTTTGGTGGTGCCGGAATTCATCATTTTAAGTGACTTTTGAGTGCGCTCCAATTCTACTCTTGTGTCCTGCATCTTTTTCTCATTTTCAGCAGCTTAAAATTCATAGTTTATGGCAACTCCCTTAAGCACATATGTCTATTTAACAAGCTCATCAACTCGCTCATGTAGAGACTTATTCATTTCACACACTTTAACCCATTTGCTGAACATGGTCTTATAAGCTTCCTGTATGTCATAAATAGTCAACTCATCGCCATCATTGTTACTCTCAGAATCTGAAAAATCTCCTTTAGTTTCGCTGTTCACAGATTCTGTTTCAGCATTTGTTGTAACACTGTCTGCGACACCTTTTGTAACACTATTTGCAGAAACGTCCATATCAGTAGTATAAACATTGAAAGCAACATAGTTACTCACATATTCATCATCTTCCTGACTGCCTTCTGACTCTTCATCACTCCAAGTTGTATTAAACGACTTCTTCTTCTTGAGGGTATTGGCGCATTCGGATTGAATATGTCCATATCCGTCGCACTCTCGGCATTGAATACATCTGTTCTTTGTCTTCAATTCTGTGCTATTTGCTGCAGATTTACTCTTTTAAAAATTGTTGGAGTTGCCATTTCTTGAATTCTCAGTCTTCCTATTGACCTTCTTCATCACCTTGTTGAATTTCTTCGACAACGTTGTTATGGACTGGGCCAAGTCTTCTTCATCATCAGAATCAACTTCGGCTTGAAAGACAATGTTTTTCTCTTTTTTTCCTTCCTTGTTTTCATCCAAATTCATCTCAAAAGTGCGCAAAGAACCCTTTAGCTCATCAAGTTTTATTGTTTGGACATCTTTGGCTTCCTTGATAGTTGTCACCTTGTAAGCAAACCTCTGTGGAAGAGACCTTAAGGCCTTCCTCACAAGCTTCTCCTCTGATATTTTCTCTCTAAGGGTAAATGCATCATTAGCAATATCACACAATTTTGAATTAAACTCAAAAATTGTTTCATCTTCTTGCATTCGAAGATTCTTAAACCTTATAGTAAGGATTTGAAGTTTAGAGAGTCTCACAGCAGCCGTACCTTCATGTGTCATTTGCAATGTCTCTCATGCATCCTTGGCTGTTCACACGTTGAAATGAGCTTGAATTGGTCCACATCTACCCCGTTGAAGATAGCATTCAGTGCTTTAGATTTGTTGTTCGCCAACTTGTCCTCTTCCGTTGACCAAGTAGTTTCGGACTTTAATATCTCGTTCCCTTCAGAATCCTTTGTTACTGGATGCTCCCAACCAGTCAAGACAGCTCTCCATGCCTTTTCATCAATAGTTTTGATGAACGCCTTCATACGTGTTTTCCAATATGAGTAGTTGGAACCGTCTAGGAGGGGAGGACGCGAAACTGAACCGCCTTCTTTCAAAAAATCTCATACCTGCTGTAACAGACCAGTTCCCAAAATCTCACCAAGCAAACGGTTAGTGAACCGTTATGATACTAATTGTTAGGTCCCTTTTTGTCGCTGGTGTCACAGAGAGTGTTATAACACTTTACTGTAATATTGTTTTAACGAAAAATCTGAAATTAAACCAGCAAAATAACAATGTAGGAAAATAATGCATAAACATAAAGGACACCTGAAAATGATATCGCAGTTCGGTGTGCACACTTACATCTGCGGGGCGACGCCTAGACAGTGATCAACCCACTAAGTTCAAAAGATCACAAAGGACCGAACGGTCTTTACACACTCAACAACTCCCTCCTTGACAATGTCGCCATTGCCTAGAATCTCCTTAAGAAGCTTGATCAGCGAACCACTCGACTTGACGGTTTACTCCCGAAACTAAAGAAATCTTCTCCCGAAGAACCAACTCAAAAGTGTTCTAACAATTCGTCGCAACACATCAAACGACACTTAACATTACAATCTCATTCTGACATGAACAAAATCATCTTTTCAGTTTTCAGCCCTCTCTCTGTTTCAAAAACAACACCTCACTACACGTTCTGCCATTGCACCCTCAATCAACACGCCTCACGCCTCAAGATCACCAACAATTAATTCCCCAAAAGTCCACTCGTGATTTTCAACAATCAAGTCTTTTGATTTGCAGTCAATAAACATGATAGCAAGACTTTTTTTAAGAGGGCCACCAATTTACAATGCCAGCTAATTTTACAACCAATTTGTCAAAAATAACCCAATACAAAATACACTAACAGGAGAAAAGCTCATTTATTTATGTACTTGCAGGTTTTGGAAGGGCAAAGAGTGCTTCCAGCTAGAGCCAAGGAGTTGGGTTTTTCCTTCAAATACCTGTACGTAAAAGATGCACTAAAAGCCATTCTTTCATAGAAGATTTTATGAAATCCTTGGAAAATGTTTGACAAAGGCCACATTCATCATCTTCTTCATTCTTTTTTTGTCAGAGTTATCTGAATAACATGTTAAATTCATAATCTGATTTTCAGTTATCAGATTAAAGTTGGATAGACCATCCCACTTCCTATTTGTGGAAGAATCACATGCACAAAACGTGACTATTTCCAACTTCCAAGGTTAATATTTTCAGTAGAAAAAGATAAATCCACCATTGTCATCCTCTTAATTCACAACCATAATTCCAGCAAAAAGAGGAAAAGAATCTCAATCCAAATTTTTGCACTTGGAAAGCTTCAAAGACCGAGAAAGGGACTTCCACGCCACCATTTTTTTGTCAACATGAATTCCACCACCAAGATCCCTCTATGATACATTTCAAAACCATCAAAGAGAGTATTGTCTTGTAACGATAATCACCCAAATCATTGTATTGTTCATGTTTGGTTTGGTCAAAGAAATCACCAACCAAACCAGAAATGTTGATATATTTTTGGCGAGTTCAAAATTTATAGAGAAATCAAATCAAAAGAAAACATTTGTAAGCGATTTGGTCCATTTAGACTTGTAATTGAAATAAATCTCAATGCGTGCAAACTTTGAGTCGATCTGGTAAAGTTAATTATTAATATTTTAGGAGAACGAGGCTGATAACATTTTTTTAAACGTTAAATAAATATTATCAGTAAACAACTTATTTCAAATAATGTGCTATTTATTTTCAAAATATTATAAAACACGTTATTTACAACGAATACATTTCAAAAAAAAATTATGTTTATTGTAATTTCTTTAATTTCTAATATTTTATCGATCAGTATTTACTATTCAAATGTTGTAATAAATTAGATAGTTAATTAATACATTAATAATAATTAATAATATTAGATTCTTATCACAACACATCATTAAATTTTTATATTTAATATTAAAAATATAACCATTAAAAATTTGACCTTTTACAACTTTTAATTAGTTATTTATATTTACTCTTTTTTTTAATGCCTAGTCCTAGTTGGTTAAAGGTTAAATACAAATGGGTATGCGAGAGCCACTCCTAGTGCAGCTGCTTGTGGGAGAGTTTTCAAGAATTTTTGAAGTTTTGTGTGTAGTTGCTTTAATATTTTTCTTGGAGTGTTTTGCTTTTGAAGCGTAATTCCAAGGTAATACCTGCAACCGCGACTACTTAAAATTTTACTTAAATCGTAATACTATGAAAACAGAGAAAAGTGCGATACATGCAAAATAATTAAAAAAAAAAAAAAAAAAAAACATTATGAAAGAATTTTGATCGGTCCACGTGATTTGAAACATCTTAATCAAAATACAATAAAATAAAAACCTACATGACATGTTCAAAGTGGAAATGATTAACAAATATACGTAGATTTTCAAATGCGTGAACAAAGAGACCACACATAAAGAACGGTAAACCAACATACCACATGGATAAAACGTGGCCGTAGAATCTGGGACATAACAATCCAAGGAAATTGTATTCTTATCTTCATAAATAAACTTCCTACTCTTATCTTTTGATAATATAATATCAGAATTGATACATATTTCTGTTCTATTACCCCACGCGATCAAAGGGCACATAAAAAAAGAAAGAAAACGATAACCATCGACCAATGTCATCGGAATGTTTACAACCCAATCAACCCCTTAATGAGTACTTTTTCCCGGTAAAAGGCTGGAATTTCGGCTCTTCTTTCTTTTGCGACTGCTCTTGTTTACTGTCTTTCGGAGCTTCCTGCAGAATTGTGAAGGAAAAAAAAAAAAAAAGAGAAAAGCTTTAGTGTTTAGCAACGTCTTCCAATTTCTTACAAGACAGTTTAAAAAATAATAACAATAAAAAAATAAAAAAAAATCACCTTTTGTGTATCCTTTGGTGCCCGGTTCACATTTGATCCAAAAACCAGCTTTCCTTGGGATTGGCGAGCAGTTGTTTGTGAAGTAGACCCTGCAGAAGGCTGTGCCCTGCCATTAGAAGTATCGGGTTGCTTGTCTTTTGACCCTGAAGAAGAAGCCGGTGCGAACTGAGTCTGCATAGGCTTCCCATCCAAGCGCCTTCCTACCCCGGTAAAAGGGTTGAATTTAGGTTCTTTTCCAGCGGGATCCTCTTGAACTGCAAAAGAATACATACACGTGCTTCAGCATACTGCGTAAGGTTACAGGATTCACAACAGAATCTCGTGTGTATTTACAATGGAAAAGCCAGAGTGCAATGCAATGCATTGAGAATTCTAAAACATGAAGAACAACGCAAAACAAGTCACCCACAACTACCCCCATCGCGCGCGCACACCCACACACCTCAACAGGTTCACTAGTAACTAAAGAAAATCTACCTTCCCATTACATGTGAAAATTGCTAGAACAGATTTTGATCACATTTGATTGCATCACTCAATCTATGAGATAACGTACAACAGTACAATACATCAACAACTCATTCACAGACCAGGCTTTGCATAATAAGTGGCTGGATCACTTAATAAAAAAAAAAAAATGGAGAGATATAATATGGTTTTGGTGAAGCGAAGTTGAAGTTGAACTAATATTATGCCACCATATCACGTTCGTAAAGTTCTATAAAAAATACAGAGAATTCAGCATTACAGAGTGCAACTGTAAAGAGATGAGCAAGCTCTACGCGCAAACTAATTAGGCAAAACTAATGCATATTGGGATTAGGTGACCGGCCAAGTGAATTGTCTGGATAAAGTTCACACACATTAACGGAGTATTCATCGGACAAAACTATAGCATACTCGTGGATTAACAGCACTAGAGCATTCCTTTTTAATATGAGCCCGGATACAGGACAAAACCATAAACCTACTTTTTCTCCCGTCTCCCAACATAGTACACATGGGAGAAAGAGGCTTTTCTTTTCTGAGGGGGTGTTTTCCATGGGATAAAGAAAATATAAAACCATGAAGATAACTGAGGCCAATAAAACATGGTGACTAAAGAAAAAGAATATACCTTGAGCAGGTGCCTTATTTAAAGGAACAGGTACAACAGGCTTTTCAGGTTCCTTGTAGTCCAATGGAGGGGCAAAGTCCACCTCACAATCTGTCTCAATGATACTTATTGCATGAGACGGCTTTGTTTCTACAATATCAATGTAATATTTCTTGTTGTTGTAAGCCACCATAATACTATCCCCAGTGGTCAAGCAGGAAAAATTCCTCAGCGTTGTCTCTAAACTGAACAAGAAAACCAAGTATTTATACGTTAAATGACAAGAGACTAAAAGAATACTAGAGATCATATTAAAAAAAAAAAATCTACAAAAGTTGCAAGACATGGGCATGAAGCACATCAACCCGACTTTGATAGCAGATTATGGAAAGACAAAATGGATTTCACAAAACACTGTAAATTAAGAACATTACAAAAAATAATAAAAATAAAAAAAGTACATATTGTATGTCTGGCCACATTCTTTTGGGGATAAGTTTACAACAAAATTCATAGATAAACAAAAACAACAAATAAAAGCATCAATGACCATGAATATGGACAAAATACTTAAAATAAAACACTAGAATATCCATTAAAACCTAAATTACAGAAAAATCACTGACTCACATAGCTTTTGGATTCGAAATGTCCAAAAAGTCTGTTGTGTGGGGTTGCAATTTGACATATGTTCCCTTTGGAAGAGTCACATTTTTTACTCGAACAAAGTCTCCCTCTTGTAAAATCATATTTTCCATCATCTGAATAAAGGCAAAAAAGAACAAGCAGCACAACTCCAGTGAGTAGAAAAACTCTAGGCCAAATAAAATGGAAAAGACACAGCTAGTTTATTACATTCCTATACACCAAGATATACAATGCCTACCCAATATGGCATATAGATCATGCCTTCCTCTGCAATGAACTCTAACACTCCACAGTGCGAGACCCGCTCTGCAGCATCATTCCGAAGCTCAAACAACATCGGATAATCAATATGTAAAGATGCTGCAAGATTATGTTTTGTGTTAGTCTCTATAATTTGATTCATACATTAGGAAAAATCAAACCAAAAAAAATGTTAAGTCAACTAACCAAGGCGGTCAAGGGCCGAGGGAGGCATTATAACTGAGACAACATAAAAACAAGAATATCAGTGACACAATAATCCAAAAGATCTAAAGCATAAAAGTGATAATGATGTAGGATGCTTACTTTTATCTCCACTTTCAATTTGTGGCTGCAGAAAGATTGAGATGAGTTTGAATCAGAATAAAGAACAAGCTCTTTTTCTTTACAAGTATAACCATAACAAAACGGGGAAAAAAAAAAGAAAGAAAGAAGAGAGAGAGAGAGAGATAGAGACAAAACAAAGAAGGAACAAAAGTAAAGGCAAGCAAAAAAACATAACAACTCCAAATTGCGCGTATAAAGGAAAAATACATATGGGATTTCAGCAGTGTTGATCGAAGTTATTTATTTCTTGCAAGGAAAACCAGAACAACCCTTTATTCCCTGACCAAAAGAAGAGGGGATGTCGCTGGCACATAAAAGCAAGGAAGGGAGTTTGGATTATCTGACTCGAGCCAACATAGTAGATGAAACAAACGCAGGAGGTTCAATTGACAGAATGAATAATTTACGAACAAAACATCTTTTTACAGCTGGCAAACATTTCGTCTGAACTGATAGAACAAAGAAAGAAACTGACCTTTTCAATAAATGATGCCGGGTAGCACCGATATGTCTGCTCAAATGAGGTTCCATGATACCCATATCCATCAAAGAACTGCTACAGCAAAGACCAAGTTAATGAGGTAAGTTGCACATAATTATCAAAATACTGCAATCCCTCAAATATGAAAAGATCTATCATATATAGTCCTCCCAAAAAAAACCTCCAAAACAAATTATCCAGTCCTAATTATATAATCAAAAATTTGGCCCCAGAAATCAGATTATCTACTATTAAATCCTTAAATTTAAATGCTCCATATTGCATATAAGTGTAAAAGTCAAACAACAACCAACTTGAGCCAAAATTTATTTCACTAATGCCCAGAAAATCTTGAACTTTTAGACCCAACAGCGGTTGAAACAGAGAAAGCAAAAAATAAGAATTAGTGATAGGTGAAAAAAGTGATTGCAGGCTTAACAACAACATAGACAAGCACTTCAGGACTATCTTGTAAAACATACCATTTTTAATACTGTGTATAGGCTTGTCCCGGAAGATAGTTAACTTTTCAAAGCTCCCTATCAGAATAAGAAAACCCACAGCAGAATTATTTAAAAATAATAATAATAAAAAAGTTACTCTGAAATTCGATAATAGTGAAAAACTAAACTGAATCACAAATAATAGCCTTATTCGTAGACCGATAAATCGATCCTAATTCAAATAAAATTCTAATCCCAAACCAAATAATAAAGAATAAAGAATCCCAATCAAATTCAAACTAAATACATATGACAATCAAATAAAATTTCCTAATTTGAGCTAAGATTTCCATTCCAAAGCAACCCACTTTGAGAATGGTAAAATCCATGACATCCCATCATAGAATTAGAAGCAAAGGGAAATAAACGATCGAAATATAACAGAAAAAATAAAATCACAATAATTTCCTCGCGAAAATTAAAATTGCAATAACGATTTGGAAAATGAGAAGAGAGAGATGCGACTTTTACCTTGTGGAGTTTGATCCGTGAGAAGACGAGAGACAGAGAAAGAAGGTGAGAGAATGAGTGTTGAACTCTGCCATGTTATGTTGTGATAGAATATAAAGAGCGTTTGCTAAGATGCGCGTGGGTGCGTAGTGTGCACGCCATATGTGTATTCGCCACTTGGCTAAGACACCACCGGCTTTGGATTCTCTGGGCTTGGGCCATAAAATTTCACCTCCTTTTGTTTAGAGTGGACGGGTCTAATTTTTACCTTTTTATTAATATCTTTTTTAATCGAATAATTAATAAGTTAAAAAAGTATTAATTAAAAATAAGAAATAAAAATTTAAGTTAATGCATTCTAAGGGTGAGTTTAGTAATTTTCTCAATTTCACCATAAAGGCCTGAAAAGTTATTGCTTAGGGATTGAGCTTATATATCCCCTTATTTATGAGTAGTTTGGTAGTGTTATAGATTTTAAAAAAATTATTTTTAATTATGCTGAAAGAAAAAATAGTTGTTATAATAAGTATCTCAGTGTTTAGTAAACTGTAATTATATAAGTGTTACTAGTTCTAAAAGCAATGTAATAGTATTTGGTAAATTGTGAGGTTAAATTGTTGTGGATAGTTAAGATGACCATAATTAATAATCTTAAATTAATATATAAAGTAATTAATAATTGATAATTATTTAGTAAATAAAAATTAATATATTAATAATATAATAATAATGGATAAATTATTATTAATGAGTACATTAATAATTAAACTATATATATAATAAATTAATATGCTAAATAATTGAAAAATTGTAATTAATAATTATAATTTATTATTTAATATATCACATGATCAATTTTTGATAATTATTCTTTTTATAATGATTAATTACTAAGTATCAATTATTAAATATTACTGATTAATATATTACATATTAATAATTATACTTTAATATTAAAGATTAATTGAGTAATTACTATTTATTTTTTATTTACCAACTATTTATTTATTAATAGAATATAATTAACATAATATATGATTGATATATTAATTATTTATTTAATAACCTATTATTACTTTTTTATTGTTAATATGTTACAATTAATCTTTCACTAAATAAATAATTACAATATTATTTATTATTTTATTAACAAAATTAAAACTTAATAGTAATAAATTAATATTTAATTAATAATTAAATAATTAATATATATTTATTAGTTATTAAGTATATCTATTTATTAATTATTAATTAATAAAAAATATAATTAGTAATTAATTATTAATTATTTAATATAATTTTAATATTATTAATTATTAATTATTTAATATAACTTTGTTGATAATCATTAATTGTATTATGTTGATTCCCGCACAATCTAAAAGTCAAAGTTGCCTTTAGGTTGTTTTCTGATTTTGGTTGTAGATTCTTTAAAAATTCTTTAAAATCACTTTTTATGGTTTTGAACAAACACCATTATCAGCTTATGACGGCTAAAGAAGTGATTTTGGGCTCCAAGAAGCACTACTAAACTCACCCTATGTCTCCTAATAAGATTACGCCATATCAGTTAGCTGTCATTACTTTTTAACATATGTGATATAAAATTTTAATTAACATGACATTTTAATTGACATAACATGATATTATTAGAAGGATATAAAAGGAACAAAAATAAAATGACAAAGGAATCGATTCATGCTTAGGGTTGGGGTAAAGTTGGAAAAAGAAGTCAACCTTGCTTCAAAAAATCTTCAAACAATTCTCATAAAAGTATCTAAAATAGTATTTAGGAATATTTATCTTTTTATACTCATTGTTTTATGTTTATTAAAAAGTATAAATTCGATTTTTAAACTCGTCAAATGTATACCTTCACACTTGAGTAAAATTTTAAAGGGAAGGTCCCCTGAACCCCTTCCTTTTTTAGTTGCTTTAGTATTCAAAATTCAAATTCCCTAAACTCAAAGTCCTCGACTCGAAATATCATATGTGATCACTGAAACTTCAAGTCAGCACTTTTGTCGGGTTACTCAAGAATTTGAATTCCCCGAACTTGAATTCCTCAACCCAAAATATTATATGTGATAGTGAAACTTCAAATCGGCTCCAACGCTTCTGTTGAATTACACAAAATGCCCATAATGCCCATTTTGAGGGTGTTTCTGATATTTTTTACATCAAAACTGTTACGTTTCTTTTTTAGTTTTTTTTTCATATTTTATGTTTCTATTTTAGGGTATTTTGAATATTTTTGAGGTCAAAATTGAGGGTTGGGCATGAAAAGGTATAGATTTGTATATTGAATTTAATTTTAAGGGCTACAATTGATAAGATTAAAGATTTGTATATTGAATTTAATTTTAAGGGCTACAATTGATAAGATTAAGAGTCAAAGATTTAGCTTTTAAATAAATCTAAAACACAAGGTATAAAAAAGTAAATATCACTAGTGTATATCATGAGCTTTATTCACTTGTAATGAGTAAATAGGTACTAATATATTTTCAAAATAAATACCGATATGAAACACAGAAAGAACACACACAGAAACTAAAAAGAATAAAATTAAACACTATTATAATTTCAGTTACAAATGAGAAAATAAAAAAAGAAAGTCAAACTATTATATACATATATCCCAAAAAAGACCTTAAATGCACCCCTATAACTTTCCATGTTGAAAAGAGCAAAACTCTCTAGTCATGACTTCAAAAAATTAGCCATTTAGAAGTGGTGAGAAAAACCAGTCATATAAAAATCTAAACTAGAAAAAGTGATGGCGAAAATTTTAACATAATTGAATTGGGTCACATGCCACTAAATTTCCTCCAAAACATTTATACCACTAGGCTTGAGCTTTTCTTGGGCTTATAAAGTTAGCCCATTTAAAATGTGTAAATTAAGCTGTATAATATTTTTAAAGTCTAGTTATTCACGAGTACTACGTTGATGTGAAAATTAACCTTTAAAAAGTGATATTCTTTTAATTCACCTACTATCTTTGGACAGTGGAATCAACGGCATTGTGAATCACTGACAAGACGTTTGGTTTATGGGTTTAAAATCATGAATCATGATTCTAATTTTTAAAATTCATGTTTTGTGTGAAAAAAAAAAAACAATATAGAGAATCAATAACTATGATTCAAATTCTTGAAACAAACATCCTGAAACTTTCCAAAATCAAAGTGCCTTAAGCAATGAGTTTTGAGTGTCTAATTATGAATGTTATACCTGGAATGAGGTTTAATCATGTTTCTATAGAGGCTCGCATGCATGAGCTTCCTCTGCCCATCAAACATGGGTGCCTTACGTCAGGCTCTCAAGTAGGTGCAGTGCACCACCATTTAACTCACTATGTGGGATCGAAGAGGATTGGCTTGTGAAGTTGAGAAGCTTGGCCTTGTAGCAATGCATGGTGAAAACACACGGCCTACTTCAATGCAATACAACCATATTCGGTTGAATTCAGCTTACGACTACCACCCAATAGGTGACTAATGATCACCTATTGGGTTACTGATTCGAGTTCCGAGGGCTGGGTGACTGTTATGATTAGCTAGTTCTAACAACTTGCACTAGTTGATAAGTGTTGGTGGTCACCCACTAGTGATTAGGTAGTGACCTATTGAGCAACTATAGTAGAGATGTAAACAGGGTATCAAGCCCAATCCAGAAGTTTTACCCAACCCCGTGAAGCGCCTAAGCTAAATTGGGCCGGTGTTGGGGCTTTCCAAGAGGATAACCGGCACCACCAGCATTTGAGCATTAGATAAAGGAAAGGGAAAAACAAATTGCTTCACCCTCCCTGTTCTAAGTTATTTATAATCTGGATCTATAAGATCTACAAGGAGGGAGAATATCTTGAATATGGCTTTTGTACTTCATTTTGCTTTCTTGTGTGCTTATTGTTTTTTTGTTTTTTTTTTTTTTTTTTTTTTTTTAAAAAGAAATCTCGTATAAAATTTTCTTATTAACTTTTTTTCCCAATTTCCATGTAAAATAATTATTTTCTCAAATATAGTCCTAATCAATACTTTTTAAAAAAATCTATTTATCCCATTAAACTATTTTTTAAAACAATTTTCCATTTTTTTATGTTTGGATTTTGTCACTTCAGTGTCTAGTTTGCTTCTCTTTTTCAAAAAACTATGAGCTTATTCTTTTGGAATTTAATTTGAGTATAATTCTTTAGTTGAATTTGAGTTATAACTTGAGTTGAACTTGTAACTTGAGTTTGTGTTTAGTTGTGTACATTTGAGTTATGGTTTGAGATAAAAATCTTTTTGAGTTTGTGTTTGAGTGAATCAAAACTTGAATTTGTATTTAGATAGTATTTTAATAAAAACTCAATGCTGATGAAAAATTTTAATAGAGTATATGGGTCGGATTTTATTTGTCTTTTCGTTGTCAACGCATAGAAAAAAAAATCATCTCAATCAGAATTAAAACGAAAAAGTTATAGCATTTTTAAGAATAGAAAAAATATTGTTTATTAATTTGAGTTCGAGTTTCTGAACTCGAATTGAAGGGAAAACTTGAACTTGAGTTTTAGTCCTAAACTCGAGTTTGAACTCGAGTTTAAACTCAAGTTTAAACTTAAAAGAACATGAACTCGAATAAAATTGTAACTCGAGTTGCTTTTTTTTTGAGTTTTTCACTCAAAAGAACAAGCTCTATATATCTAAATGTTTCTCATTAAAATATTTTTTTGTCAAAACAAAAGGTTGAGATGCTCATCTACCATTGATTCTAAACTTGTAATTATAAAAAAAGAAAATGTTATAAACTTGTAATTATAAAAAATTGTTATAAGTACTAAAAGTGATATTGAATAAATCCTTGAAAATTCTTTTTCTGCTGTGTTTTATCAATAAACAGTACTTGTGTTACCATCTAACTCCGAAAACCTTAAGGCGGGAAGAACTACTCCAGTGCCTACTATAACAAATAACAAGTAATAAACACTACCAGTCACTTGGGTGATTTTGGCGACTAGAGAAAGTAGTAAAGGGTACTTTAGTTGTCATTCTCATCATTTGCATCTATATATATATATATATATATATATGTATAAGCGTGAAAGTTTAAACCC